AATGTTGAAGTAACTATTCCTGTGTGAAGAAATACATAATATGCAATAAGGTAAAACAATTGCGTTTGAAGCGGGAGGGTTGTCACCTGCGCACGCGCTGGAATTGAATCTCAAGCGATGACAACACACGCTAAAACCGCAAATGGGTAGACGCTTGTTTGTAAACAATGACACGCTATGACCACCTGACACATGCGTAGGTGACGACACCCCTGCTTTAAAGGGTGTAACATTTTATGTTTATATTTATTTTATTTTATTTTCTCACAATCCAATGCTTTTTTCTAATGAAATCACGGGTAAGAGTTTTTCCCTGGATGTCGCATGCATTAATCACCGCCGGCGACTTCTTCGATACCTTCCAAACACCAAAACAAAACACTTAATTAAAGCTTGGTAACATCACAGTTTGTTCTAGTTGGTGTGTGCTACAGTTAAAATCGCCATCTTTGTTTATACGAGACCCATATCTCGCGCATGCATTGCGCGACGGCTACTGCCCTTTAAAACCCATCAAATACAAATGCATGCGAACTATGGACACAAACACATGTTATATAGCTAAGTCGGTAATATCGTCATAAGAATGTAAAATTTCAAACAGGGAAGGCAAAGTTATTAACGTAGTTTTGCAATATAACATCTACTTACTTTTGCATATAATGTTGTTATGATTCCATTGACCTCTACTCTCACACGTTGTAATCATCGATGTCACAGCTTCATACCCTCTAATACATGTATAATTACATTGGCTACCATAATTCACACCATCTGAGCAAGATGGCCATTCAGTATTTGACCCAGGTGGCGGAATATCACAATGGGTAACTGCAAGTAACCATCAAACAATACTTATCAAATGTTGATTCATTGTTTTTGAAGGGGAAGGTGAAGTTATTAACGTAGTTTTGCAAAATAACATCTACTTACTTTTGCATATAATGTTGTCATGTTTCCATTGACCTCTACTCTCACACGTTGTAATCATCGATGTCACAGCTTCATACCCTCTAATACATGTATAATTACATTGGCTACCATAATTCACACCATCTGAGCAAGACGGCCATTCAGTATTTGACCCAGGTGGCGGAATATCACAATTGGTAACTGCAAGTAATTGTTTGATATCACGGGATTATATTTGGCATGAACAACCAATATAACATACGTCAGATGACACTTTAATGTGAATGCAGGTGTTAACGTATTTGATACTATACCTATGTATTTGCACTGACTGTTATAGTTTAGCGTGAGTTACATGTTGTGGTATATTACATGTGACAACTGGAAATAAACAGACATATTATTGTAAAGGCTTGGGTCGGACTACTCAATCAAGATCCTAATGGATAAGAAGCATTTTAATTTTTAAGGTGAATGTTCCAGCAAAGCACTGCACTATCATCTTGAAGTATTTCATGAGGATATTTAGACAAAGCTATTCAAGCTACTTAGTTTCCAAGTCTTATGTGTTCGTTTATTAGTTGCACTGGAGATGGTAAATCATTACGTTATTATGCTTTACCGGCCTTGTGACATACAGGGTTATGAATGGAGTTACCGCACGGAGTTGCTGAGGGAGGAATGTCAAAACGGAACAACACCGTGCAGGCGGACGATGGATAAGAAGACAACTTACAGATATTATCAAGAATAAAG